TCGCTGTTTACACTTTGGTTAAGAGTCGTCCCCCTTGTTTTTAATATATATATATATATATATATATATATACAGAATCTAGACTCTAGATCTGGATTAATTGTTCATTTTTCTTTTTTGACACTACGAAAAAGATTCTAAATTATGAATCTAGATCTATATCTAGATCTATTTTACGATTAAAATCAGATCTAACGAAAGAAGCATATTTAAAAAAATAAATTTTGAGTCCGTACTCCGGTTCATAACTTTTAAACTTTACCGGAAGACTTGCATGTTTTCGTATAGTTTAGTGGGAGGGTTTCAGAATATATCTAGATCAACATTTTAATTATTTGATTGCTCATAATACAAAAATCATAATGGTAAAATTCTGTCAAGTATATGCTTTTATTTACGCATTTAATCTCTAAAAAGTTGGGTTGCACTGTGTAGATCTTGATTCTAAACCCCTTTAACCTTTTATATTTTATAAAAATAAACTTACTATTTACAATAATAATATAGATGACTATACTATAGGACTATAGTCTTACTATAGTTACAAAGTTAGTAACAATATATAGACTATACTATAGTTCACTATAGTTATACTAGTTATAGACTATCTATAGTGACTATAGTAGCAGACTAAGTATAGTCATAGTGTCTATAGACTATACTTTATAGCCTATAGGTACTTTGACAAAAAATTGAAAATAAATATATAACAACAGAAACTATCTACTAACTAGTTATGTAGAGCTTGCTCAACTTGCTGAGAGGTTTACAATGATACCAAATTTATCTTTCTGTTATATAGGAGCAAAGTTATGCCTGATCTGGAAACCACTGCGTGGTTCATCTCAGATATAGGATTACTGATCTGAATTCTCTGTCATGTAAAATGAGAATGAAGAAGAACAACAACAACATTATATAATAATTTACAAATAGAAAGCCAAAGCCTAATAAAATACTCATGGAAAGACACAAAGATAGAGGCACATTTGTTATTTCATATGCTAGATTAACTTTGTACTCTACAGTGCTTCTTCTTCCCTAGTGCCATTAGAGAATGGAATGGGCTACCTGAATCAGTCAGTCACATGACTTTTAAATGCAAGAATTCTGGCTACATTAAATAAACGTTTAGTCATTTAACAGCAAACTTTTAACTTTTAAACTTTAGAAAAGGCCTTTTTACCCTTGAAATACATACATCTATTTTTCAACATAGATTATAAATAGAACAGGATTTTTAGTACTAAATGTAGTCACCGTTTTCTATTTATCATAATTAGAAACAATGTAACTAAATTTGTGTGTGTTTAGTTATCCATTAGTAATGTAAACAAAAATCTCAGAAAGATTCAAATTTTTTTTTTCAGTTAATCCCCAAATTGAAAAACACTTTCTCTATGAATAAAATGTAAAATGAAAGTATGAGTAATTATGTCATTACACAGGCTATTAAAAAATCTGTTTAAAATATATATTATCAAACTACATTCAGTGATGGGAATTTTCTGAAAATTGTTACTTTTATTTCTGCAAAAAGTCAATTTAGTGGTAAATTGTTGTATAATAGTTGTTGGTTGTATTTTAGGGACACTTTTTATTTCCAAAATGTTATTTCATCTTATAAAAAATCTGTTTAAACTATTTTCTCAGATCCGCTTCATTCTGATTCAAAACAGAGCAGGTAAAACCAGATTGGCTAAATGGTATATGCATTTTGATGATGATGAAAAGCAAAAGCTTATTGAAGAAGTCCATGCAGTGGTAACAGTGCGAGATACTAAACACACAAACTTTGTTGAGGTAATGTAAAAACTTGTGAAACAATTAGTGCTAAAAATAGCGTGAAGGTTTAACAAGTCATAGTGAATTATCATAAGTGTATACAGGTCACACAATATGCTTAAATATGCTTAAAATAAATACACTTCTAATTCATCATCAACCAATTGAGAAGGAATCAGTTTACTGTTGATTAAAATAAAATTATTATGTAGTTCCGTTAGAGGCTTTATCTTCAGCTGTAATCAGTAGAGAAAATGTAACACTATTTAGAGCTAGAAATTGATATTCACAAGCAGTGCAATCAAGTTTTAATCAAATATATGATGGACAAACTATATATATATATAAGCTACATGTTTCTTAAATTATAGTCAGAATATCTCACACTAAAACGTCACATACTGTCCTTCTATAATTATGCCTTATTAGTGTATTACATCCATTTTAATTACAGATGTAATTCCATTAATCATACATTGTTAGTTTGATGATTTGTTAGTAGTTCTAGTGTTTTTTGTTTTTTTTTTACAGTTCAGAAATTTCAAAATTGTCTACCGTCGCTATGCTGGTTTGTACTTCTGTATCTGTGTTGATGTAAATGACAACAACTTGGTTTATCTTGAAGCTATACACAACTTTGTCGAAGTTTTGAATGAATTCTTCCACAATGTGTGTGAGTTGGATCTAGTCTTTAATTTTTACAAGGTGAGCTTTTTACATTAATAGACTTAGACATGTGTGGTGTACCCAAATATACAGACCAGGTCTGATTCTAGTATACAAAAGAAAAAGTATCAAAGTGAGAAGAAAAGAAGGGACTCAACTTATCTCAGATATAGTGTACAATCTTAAGACATAGTATTTATAACTTTTTTTGTTTATCAAAGGGACAATCTTTTGTTTTAAAAAAAAAATCACTTTATAAAAATGGAATTTAGCTACCATTAACCAGATTAAAATTTAAAAAATAATTGTTTCTTTAAATATGTATGTATGTATATATATATATATTGGGTCAAATTTATATATATTTATTTATATAATAAGGCTTGTCCAAAGATTAAAGAAGAGTGCAATATTCATGTGGTTTTGCACTGCAATCTACATAGTTTGCCACATTCACCGCAGACATAACTGTCAGTGGTCAGTTTAGGTTCTTCTTCCGACGTCTGCACCTAAACTCAATTTCCTTTTGGTCTTAAATGTGTATCCCGTTGCTCTTGCAATTAATCTCCAGGTGTTTCATTCTGAAGCCACCTATTGATAGGTGCTGTCTTCTATGTCAGTTAAAGCAAGCTGCCTCTAAGCTGGTCTTCTAAGCGTTTTCAAGGGGCACCTATATTGCACAGACCACCTTTCAGCTCATCAAAAAGCACTTAAAAATTTGATGTATGTTAATACAGCATTATATATTTTGTCTTAGTCATGTTCAGAATATTTATTTTTCAAAGTAGCATTTTTTTTTAAAAGCACTACGGTCAATGAGTTAAGCTTTTTCTTGTTGACAAAGTTTATTTGAATTCTGCCCCCCAGGTGTACAGTGTTGTAGATGAAATGTTTCTAGCTGGAGAGATACGAGAGACCAGCCAAACTAAAGTTCTCAAACAGCTGTTGATGTTATCATCACTAGAATAACATATTTTATGTCCTCTTGTTTTGTGCAATACACAGACGTAGTTTTAGACTCCTACAGATTTCTTTTGTTCAAAATGTTTGAGTTTTCATTCACAGTAATTAGCTTCTCAAATTGAATTTTCTTGCGCTGAGCTAATCAGATTTGTATATAAACTAATTGATGAAGACAGAAAAAAAATTCTAGCTAGGCTGTTTAGTCTGGGCCATATAGATGGGGGGAGGGTTGTAACCCATGCATACATTTTTAAAGTACACTTCCATGTGAAAGAAAGCATGCATAAATCTAACATTAATTTAGATAGGATCATTCCCTGTTTTCTGTGTAATGTGAACGGAACTTTAGATATGAAAATGTGTGAACAATTGTATGTTGATATGTGTATTACAGAACTTTGAATGATTAGATTGTGTAGCTAATTGAATGTTTAGACAGCTGTTGATCAATACACTGAGAGTAGTGGCTGTAATGTACATACGAACTTGTGTGTGTATTTCTAATTCTGTGTGTTTATAACTGTATGGTTCACTGTACAGAGATTTCTCATTGGTCAGAATCGTTCACCTGGTGTTAAAGTGTGCAAAACATTCCATGTGATAGATTTATTTGGCACTGCTAGTATAAGAATTACTCCCTTTACTGAAGTTGGGGTTTAACACAAAGGGTAGGATTTTTTTAAAAATAGATTTTATTTGTATTTGGCATAGTTCAGTTGAGTTAGTACCATTTAATTGAATACCATTATTGCTAGAAAAAAATTGTGTGATTTTTTTTTCTGCCATTAACTCTTTGTCTTAATGTCATGTGTGAGCTAAACTAAGCTAGCTCTGTGTGGCTCTCTGTACATATTGTCGTACATACCATATAGTTTAGTAGATGGAAGGAGGTCATAAACGTATGTCCCAGAGAGTCAGGCTACTCAAGTAAATATCACTTTTACAGTGCTGCCAACTCTGTTAATCTTTGTTGTTGTCTTAGTAGATGGACATTGTGTACATAGTTGTATTGAAGATGTAACAGATTAGATTATTGTTTAGAATCTGTATTCTTTTTTTCCTCATTTATAATTTCTATCACTGTTATCTCCCTTGTATTTTAATTTTTTTTTGAATACTCAAAGCATGAAGTAGTACAAATAAAGAAAGAAAATCTATTTGTGTTGTTTATGAATTGTGCTTGGATTTGTTACATGTCATACAATACTGCATTTGGTATCTGTGGTGCTTTAACAACTTGCCATCAAATGATGACTGGCATGTTCAAATTACCCATAAGGTGTTCTTTATACAATTTTATTAACTAAATGAGCTGCACATTCTATGCTCCATTGTTGTGGCCACATGGGAATAAACATAAGAATTTACGTGCATTTCATGTCAGAGCATAAGAAAATTGACAATATATTGACTTAGTTTTTGTATTGTATCAGGCCATTGCATTATTTTATTATTAGCAACATATTTGTCTATTGAAAACTACAATGTTTAGATGGTCATAAAGTCAGGTCTTAAAGTAGTTATTTCACTCAATACACTCACTACAGACAGCTTTTTATAAAGCCAAAAAAAACAACACAAGAGAGTTCCATAGATTTTTTTTTAATATTGACATTTGGCATGGCATTAAAAAACCAGTACAACACAAGAGACATGTCTAACTCAACTAAGCATATTAAAAAAAATGTCTGACACTATGTCACACTTTGGTTTCATCTCGAACTAGTGTACATCATATTTATCATCTGAAGATTTTGTTGAGCTTTTCCATCAATTTTCCAACTTCATCATGTATTCTCTTCAGAGTATTTAAGTATATTTTCATTAGTTACAAGTTTTAAAAAAATTGAACCCATATGCTAATGAAAAACAATTTAAAAGAGAAAAAAAAAACAAGATCTTAATGTGTCCTAGGCATTGAAAATTTACTTTTGAAGGTTCTATTTTCTTGAGAAAGATTATAAGTAAATGTACAATGGCATGCAAAGAGAACATGTTCACTAAAAGAAAATGTATTTCTTCAATTACCTCTGGTTTCTCTAGGAAATGTTATTTCTTACATTTTATTCATGAATAAAAATAGCTCTCTGATTTGTACTAATAAATGTGAAAAAAAACAAAGAAAGGTAAAGTTCCCCTTTCAGACCTAGCAATCAATGGGGCAGATGATGTAAATATCTTCTGTTTTTATGGCACACGATTAACAAGAGTGCCATGCGGCCAGCGCAATGACCAGCCGCTTTTACTTTTCTCCTATTAGCAGCTATCCATTAAAGTATAGTGGGATTAGGGGCACCTTATAAACCCCAAACTTTAAAAATCCCAGTCTTCGAACCCAAGACTCCTCGGTTCAGAAGCCAAGTGCTTTACCACTTAGCTACCATGCCCCCAGTAATAAATGTTTCAAAAGCTCTTATGTTTTATACCCAAGAATGTTTGTTTCAAAAAAAAAATTACGTAAGGAAATTCTGTACAAGTTTACTAGATGTGCTCAATTTTGTCTTTTACACAAATAAAGTTGTACATACAATCAACATTGTATGCCTGGTGCAGATCTCCATTAACCATTGCAGTAGTCATAACATACCAGTTTGACTTGATTTCAAATATATTGTCACTCTGGGTAGACCAGCCAAATGAGAGACCTGAACATTATTACAAGATGAAAGAAATCAACTTTCCAAACTACTATCACATTTATTGTGTCAATAAAAGTACACACTTGGCAGAAAAAAAAAAAGATGACATTGAACTACAACTATTATATATGGATAGGTGTTATTCATGTATAACAAACAATTTATTATTCATAGTACCGAGAGGATGTATAATGGTCACAATATAATGTTAAAACAACTTTCAATGTTTGCTCTATGAATGGACTACACCAGGATGAGTTGAACCAAGAACATTGAAAACAATGGAGTGGTGTAATGATTCAGCAGACGTAAGAAAACAAGGTAGATCACTCATGAATTATATCTGGATAACATTACAACAGTGTTTCAAACTATCACAGATGGCTAAAGTATTCTGACTTTAGACACAAGATTACCTAAATTGATTGCAAAACAATTTTTTTTTACTTTTAAAGGTATCATCAGGTGCGAACCCCTATCTATTTTTCCAAGCTCTCTAGCTGTGCACTAAATTTAAGTTTTACAAAAAGTAATATAAAAATGAATATAAAACGCTAAGATTTTTTAATCAATTATTTTTAAATACACGTGGGTGGATAATTAGTCCTTTTTTTTTCTATTTACAAACATTCCTTCTATAAAATTATTAACAAGACATTCCACTATTGCCTCCATGGAAAGTCTGTCCAGTTAAAGTCTTAACATTTGGATGAGTAATGATACCCCTTTCCACAATTCCTTTTAGGTGATTCAACTAAACCTATAGAAATGAAAAGAATATGTACTCTCTAATTTAAGACACAGAACTGGTTTTTAGAAACTTACCCACAAGGCCAAGCTTAAAAATGTTGGTGGATCCTAGGAAACATTATTTGGACGTTTAGTTTAGAAAAAAATCATCACATTTTAAGACTTTATGAATTAATATAATATAAAGAAAACAAATATAATTTTATTATTTCAAAAGTCTTGACCATCACCTCCCCCCCCCCCCCCCCCCCCCCCGAAAAAAACCCACTTATTGATATTAAATAAAATTAAATGTTCAGATTATTACATCCTAGCACAAACTTTCTGCTGGACTTCTGGGAAAGGTCTAAACCCAGGACCATCAGGACGAGAGTCCAGAGCACAAACCACACAACCAGGTAGACGTCTCATTAATTTGTAACACTAACTTGCTGATTGCCACATTGCTTCCAATTACTGGTGATCAATCTGAAGATACCAGCTCCTGTGGCTTCAAAGTGGCACCTCAGAGGTAACATATATTAGTGGAAGCAGATAGGAGAATGAGGAGTGAACCAGGCCTCCATCAGGTTACTTTAGGGGAGTTTGTTTTTAATCTTATGGAGAAAGAGGAGTGAACCAGGCCTCCATCGTGTTACCTTAGGGGAAGTTTGTTTTTAATCTAATGAGGTTGAAGATAGAAGTAAGACCCATCAGGTCTGCCACATTCTGTTCCATTATTGCAGCTTATGGAGTTGCCGTCCCTACACAGCTGTGTGGCAGTATCAGAATAGGAATACAAAGAAATGCCTCAGCCTTCTGCTGCTTAAAGCGAGCAGTGATGATTCAAGAGCACTATTGGGTGTGATCCAAAGCACCGTACCCTACAACCCAATCATAGTAATTGTTGCTGTTATTAAGGAACCTTTAGACAGAACTAGGGGTAAAGAGTTCCCAGTCAATGCCTATCTTTCAATGGGATAATGTGGATGTCTTTGGCACTCTGATACCCTAATGGACTTTTTCAAAGGTTGTGAACAATGTCCAAAATTTGAGTATTTTATTAATTCTGGATGTGACATCGTAGACTAGATAGCCTGTCATGTTGCTCAGCATCATAATCACACATGGTAATGGCAATCACACTAGATAATGACAATCACACATGGTAATGACAATCACACTAGATAATGACAATCACACATGGTAATGACAATCACACATGGTAATGGCAATCACACTAGATAATGACTATCACACTAGATAATGACAATCACGCATGGTAATGGCAATCACACATGGTAAATGCAATCACACATGATAATGACAATCACACATGGTAATGACTATCACACTAGATAATGACAATCACACATGGTAATGGTAATCACACATGGTAATGGCAATCACACTAGATAATAACAATCACACTAGATAATCACAATCACACTTGGTAATGGCAATCACACATGGTAATGGCAATCACACATGGTAATGGCAATCACACATGGTAATGGCAATCACACATGGTAATGACAATCACACTAGATAATGACAATCACACATGGTAATGACTATCACACTAGATAATGACAATCACACATGGTAATGGCAATCACACATGGTAATGACAATCACACATGGTAATGACAATCACACATGGTAATGACAATCACACTAGATAATGACAATCACAGATGGTAATGACAATCACACATGGTAATGACAATCACACATGGTAATGGCAATCACACATGGTAATGACGATCACACATGGTTATGACAATCACACATGGTAATGACAATCACACTAGATAATGACAATCACAGATGGTAATGACAATCACACATGGTAATGACAATCATACATGGTAATGGCAATCACACTAGATAATGACAATCACACATGGTAATGGCAAGCACACTAGATAATGACAATCACACTAGATAATGACAATCACACATGGTAATGGCAATCACACATGGTAATGGCAATCACACATGGTAATGACAATCACACATGGTAATGGCAATCACACATGGTAATGACAATCACACTAGATAATGACAATCACACATGGTAATGGCAATCACACATGGTAATGGCAATCACACATGGTAATGACTATCACACTAGATAATGACAATCACACATGGTAATCACACATGGTAATGACAATCACACTAGATAATGACAATCACACTTGGTAATAACAATTGCACATGGTAATGGCAATCACACATGGTAATGACAATCATACTAGATAATGACAATCACACTTGGTAATAACAATTGCACATGGTAATGACAATCATACTAGATAATGACAATTACACTTGGTAATAACAATTGCACATGGTAATGACAATCACACATGGTAATGACAATCACATTTGGTAATGACAATTACACTTCCTTATCAGATAACACATTAACTTTTTATTTTTTAAAAATTGCACAGAGATGCTGGGACTTGTTCATTATATATCCTATTGTTATATGTGCAGGCCATAGGCTATATGAAAGAAAAATCACTATACAAAATGACATCTTTATAAAATAGAAAAGAATACTGAAGATATACATGGAATGAAATAGCATTAGTTATATAGTCAATTTGTCATAGAACCAAATTTGACTTGTCACAGAAATAAATTTTATTGGTTACAGAAGCAGGTAATAACCTTTTTTAGTATTGGTACTTCAAATGGGCAAATCAAATGAAACAAACTGTACAGATATAGCAAGCAAACCGAATGAACATGTGAATAAGAGTATCCAATTGTAATTGTTTACAAATTGGCATTGGGAATACTAGCAAATAATGACAATAACTTTTAAACAAATAACATTTATCACTTAAGTAAAATTATTGTCCTGCTAGGACATTACATGATCTTTGTAAGTAATTTTGTACAGCAAGACAAAATAGAGGTGTCAAAGACAGAATCTATGGCGTTCTTCAAGATTAATGAGCAATATCAAACATGAAATAAGGGAATCATGTTTAGTGACAAAAATTTCTCAAAAACTTTGTGATATTAAAGTATTGGATGCATCATTAATCTAGCAGATGATTATATGGTGTGGGATTCAGACTTACAGGTTAAAATTTCATATTAAGAAAATTATTTCGTTTGTTTATTTGTGTTACAAGTTTTGAATGCCCCTTCAGAAATTTAAGATTGTAATATCCTAAGCCAAACCTTGTGCAAGATGGCATGGGAGGATGGTGAGCAAGATTCTAACTCTGGACCCTTGTAATGACAGTCTGAAAGTGCATAGCACACAACCAGGCTGCCATCAATGTTTTTAATGTACTTCTGACTTGCTGAATAGATGTTGAAATAAAATGTGTATTGTCATTCTGAAAGAGCTGTCAAGTCACTTAATGCAAACTTTTGTTAAAAAAAAATTTCAAAGTCATGCGATGGTAAAATAATGGTTGCTTTGACAAAGAAACAGACCAATGCACTTTAACTTGTTTTTTTCCGTTTAACAAACTTTTTCAAAGGTTGAGACAGTCATGTTAGTCTTGACTTAAAATGGTAGTATGGTAAACTCTCTGAGCCTCTGGACAGTCTTCTCTATATTCCTGGTTTCAGAAACATATTCATGGCCATCCCTTAATCTGAGGGAGGTTTGGGCTAGGATGTTATAATCTTCAATTCTGAAGTAACATAGGAGACCATGCTAAACAAGTCTGGTTATTTTATCTCTTATAATTTTTACTCTATTTCAATATTATTAGATCTAGGTGCATATAATGCTATACATATTGCTGTTTGAATAGACATTTTATTTTAACTTTTTTTCTGGCTGTGTGCTGTTGGCTAAAGGGTCAAAGAATGTAATTTATGAGTCAAACTTATAGTAAACCAGAGGACAGATATGAATGTGAATCAACAAAAGATGGTGAAAAATGGGTTGTTAATGCCTGGAGTGATAAATCAAAGATCTTTTAAAAGGAGGCTACTAATAGCGATAAGCCATGGGTCAAATAATGGCAGCTGACTAGGGATAAGACAATGGCCACAAAGCATTTATCAAATAATGATTGTTGGTCAGGAATGAAAGCTTGTTATGAGTATGTTTTTGTTTCATGAGTAAATTAAAACATGTCAAGTCACAAAACTAAGATTCTATTGTGGCTCTAGCATTCATTGTATGGCAGAAAATAAAATAAAATCTGCAATTTTTTTTGTTCTGAAATTTATAAAGCCAGTAAGAAGATAATATATGAAGTAGTCTCCCCTACTCAAGTCCTATCTAACAATTACGATATTGCAGGTAATTTATACTAAGAATGAAAAATGGGTAGTCTGGCTTAAAAACAAAAAAGATCAAATGAAACAAACAAAAAATTATACTTTAAGTTGCTAGTTTTTTTTTTTTAAGTTAACTCTTTTATAACTTGCTCAAAGAAATGTGTTTTATCTTGTACAATTTAAAGGGAAAGAAAAATGCTGATCCTCATAGATTCTTGATTTAATTATAAATGGTTCTGAACCATCACAATTATAGTTTCTTTCAGTCGGCAGAAATTCTTTTAAAAAAACTCAAAACAACAAAAAAAACTTCATAAAATACTTTTAAATCATTTTGTTCCTTGGACGACGTATAATGCCACTTTGCTAATCACTAGCTGAAGAATGACAATATAATCATGATACTTTAAAACAATATAGCTATAACAAAACCAGTTTTTGGTCTAGAGTATCATATGCAAGTTAATCTGTACTTGTACAATACAGTGAAACAAACAAAATTGAACTCAGTCAATAATGAATTTTTTTTTTAGTGCAAGGAGAAACAAAACAATAGTATAATATTGGTGTTCATATGAATAAATATGCTGCCAAGATTTGCACATGATTGGGCCTAATGTTAGTTGATAATTTCATAAAATGTAAAAAAATACAGTATCTCTTGATATCATTTATTATTTAAAACAAAGATTAGCCTAAAAAGGTCAAAATGATCACACTTGAAATAAAGTATAACTGTAGGAAAAATTTTAAAACCTCTTCGAACACCCGTTCGTTTATCTAATGGCTTTAAAATTTTAATTATTGTGTGTAAACAATGATAATTTAGTTAAAAGTGTAATGTAATTTAAAATTCAGTAACAGTATCAACAATTATCAACAAAGTCCCAAGTATCTTGAAAAAAAAGTGTGAACCAAATATTACTACCAAAATGATGAGATTTTTCTTTCAGATCATCGAAACTTATCACAAGTACATTTAGAATGTAT